AGCGAAGGGGCAGGCAGGCAGAGAGGGGAGGGTGGGGGAGAGGTACTGTACAGGAGTTGTTGAGCACACACCTCCCTCCTTCCCATGCCTTTCTCTTACTGCTTGACTGCATCGCTTCCCCACACATAGGAGAAAAAAAACATCTAATTATAAGCTCTTATTCCACTTCATTTAAGAGAACACTTAATGATGTGTTTTTGGGGGGAAGACAACTACACATTACGTCTCATGCAAAAGGATTCTCTCAGCTGTAGCCCTTCAGAATTCAGATCCAGCTGCGCTTCGAATGGATTGGTTTATCCTTATTTGTCTGAGATGGTTGCGTTTTCTCCCTCGCTCATGTTTAGCCAGTGTCCTAGTGGTGATGTAGGGTGGTAGACAAGAGGCGGAAAGTGACATCCGAGTTTGGCAGGGAGACTTGCTGAAGGAGAGAGTTTGYTGTAATTGCTCTGACAGGTTTTAAGGCTGTTAATGACTCCGGCCTGAGCGCCACCAATTTGTCAGCATGCTTGCTGTTTACTAAGCTGTTGTTTTATGGTCCAGTGCAAGGGGGCTGCTGCTTGTTTAAGCACAGATCAGGAAATAATCAGCGTAAAATGCTGGCTGCAGAGGTGCAGCCGCTCTAAAAACGATTCCTTTTAGAGCCCTCATCTACTGTATGGATCTGAACGAGTGCACTACACCATATGGTGCATTCACACAGAAACAAAAGCGCACTGACGGCTTACTTAGATTTAAAAATCAGATGGCAGCATAAGTGTTTTATCATTAAAGAGATTATGCTTTACTTGTTGGCACTTGTCTGTGTTACATGAGTACAGAGCATATTGCTAGCATGTGGTTATAGCAAGAAGGTCGGTAATCCCCAGCCGACACGGAGCAACAGAGGGCTAGCTGTTCCACTTGTGTGAATAGGACCTCTTCGCATTTGTGCGTGTGTGTATGTGAGGGAGATTGTGTATGTGTCAAAAGCATGTGGTCCCAGAGTCGGCAAAGAACCCTCCGTAAATCCAGAGTAAATAAAAGGGGTAACCAGACGGACAAAAGAAGAGCCCCCACTGCTTCTCTCATTCGCTGCCATTTGGGGGGACTGAATGTGCTAAACGCCGCTTAGGTTGGCTCAAAAGTTGAAGAGAAAAAGAGGGGAAAGGGAGGCTCTAAATCCACCCCCCCCCCCCCCCCCCACCCATCTTCTTTTCTCCCCATTCTCTGCAGCCAAGCCTGCGAGGATAAAGGTGGTGTAATAGGAGGGCGAGGTGGAGGGGTCTGGTCAGAATGCTGTGCCGAGGTGGAGAATCTAAAGACGCTCCTGCAACAACAACCCTCTTAGCCTCTGCTCTCTCTTTATTTTCCTTTTTAATCTAACTCCCCTCGTGAGTTTTCTCCTCTCCGTATTTGGGTGAGCTTGGTTGAACATGGCTGACTAGTTTGGGCTGACAGGGGGCATGGGGGGTCTGTTGTAATTAGTCACTTTAACCGTGGCTTTCATAAGCCGCTGCTTATACACTCTTGCTTCATTACCCTGAAACAAACGCCTGGGCCTCCTGATGCAAAATCACTGTACAGCCTTAAAAGTACACACCAGATTTTTAAAACTTGTCCAGAAGTTTTTAGAAGTCTTTTATTGATTAAAAAAATAAGAATAATCTTGACTTGTATAGGTTTGGCCATTCTTGATGTGCTGATAGTTGCAATATTTATCACTTGTGTTCAAATTCATAACATTTCTGAGACTGCCTTAACCACAGTGGCTTCCTCAGCAGGAGGGCACCTCTTGCACTTCAAGTATTGGCTCTGGTGTCGTTAAGATTCCCCTGAAGTCCTCTTTCCTCCAAGCAGAAACTCTATGACACTTTGTACTCTGCACATATTTTTATTTTTTTTCTACAAGGACTCTTGAAGCGACCTGGATTGTGCCAACATTAGATAAGCAGAGTTGCAATGTGTTTACAGTCCTTTCTCAGCCCGATAATGAGCTCAGCCCTGAGACCAATTTACTCACAAGCAGATATATCTGAATGCATTTTTAATAACCACCCACTGGTGATGAGAGAGGCGATGTATGTGAGCATAATGTGCTTTTGGACTTGAGCTTGTTTGTTTGTTAGTGTGCTCATTCACTCTCTCTTACCCTCATTGGGTCCGGTCATTGTCTTCTCGCCTGATTACACTTTCTCYGTGTTGCTGTGCATAAGAAAATATGYGCTGAAACTTTTATTGCAAGCACTTTAAGTTGAGATCTTGATAGGGTGAGGGAGGGAGGGAGGCAGGGAGAAGGGTAGAGGAGTAAAGGTTTGGGGAAGAAAGAAAGAGAGGGTATAGTGGGTGGGTGGGGGTGTGCTGCTGTCTTTTTTTTTCCCGTCTCCAAGGGCGCTGCTTTTCCAAAAGTGCCTGGGGCTACACTCCAGCACCTCGGCTCCCTTAGGCCTTTCGACTGCCTCCTAATAACCAACCCCCATCTGTGTCACATGGCCAGATGATGGGACGCTTCCCTCTGCTCTGCCCTGCACTTTTTTCCCCTTTACCCAATTTTTTTTTCAGAGTGCACATCCTTGCAGGTTAGAATGGCAGAGTTGCCAGGGAACAGTCAGAAGCCATTAGCGTTTGGGACAATTTGCCCTGAAGCGTTACTTCTCTGGCTCATAAGAAAGGAGTGGGGGTGGATGCAAAGCACCAGCTCTCCTTCAGATGTAATGAGGTTGAGCAAGTTGGATCTTCCTTATTCTATTTCTACTCCTTCTTCATTGCTCCTGCTTGCTTCTCTTTCTTCTTCTTCTTTTGTTTCTTTCTTCCTTTTATTTTAAGTCTACACTTTATCGTCTTTGTGAGAATGCAGGCGTGTCTGCATCGAAAAGTAATTCAGAACAACTAATATACCTGTACATGGAATTACTGCTTGAAAGCTGCAAAAGTCTGATCTGTACTTGCCAGTATCCATGTGCATGGGTAGATAGAGAGGAGCTGAACAGCAGTGGAGTCCGGTTTCATCCTTGCGGGCTAGGGCAGGAGGCAGCGAGCATGCTGGGTAATGAAGTGACAGGTCAGTCTGTAAATACGCACGGGTCGCATTGGCCCCRGCCAGGGGGAAGGCTATCGCATTGCAGTGAAAATGGAAACGTCAATAAAATTAATCTGCCAGCCTTTTGGCCACTGTGCAGTTCAATTGGATGAGCCTGACTGCTCACAGCGGGAGAGGGATTTGGAGACTCGCTCAAAAATCAACACAAAACCTAACGGCGTCCAAACAAACACTAAACTGTGCATAAACATTATTCAGTACAACTCAAAGGCAGAGAAACAAAGCCTGGGTGGTTAAAATTCACAGCTCACTAGTTGTGTTTTTGTTGAGGTTTCGCAGCAAACTGGGGGAGTTAGACTTTGCTTCCGTCTGGGTCGCATTTCTCAGGAAGCCCCTCRCAGTCAGGGTAGGGACCAAAGTTTATTGTTTTAGGCTTTCCTGAACAAGGATTCGTACTTAGCCTGGGATTTATGGCATTTGCAGCTAATGAWTGCCCATTCTACAATTACAACACCCCTCGTCCGTGTCCCCATTCCCATATGTCCTTCAGGAGGGCCGCTGCTTTTTTAACTTCACACAGGGAGCGCAAAGTCGGCACTTCTTTGTTTTCTTCTTTCGTGTGGCTCTGCACTAATGATGTGGAAGGAAAACATTGCACACAGACAGCAAAGAAAGACAAAGAAGAAAAATAATTTAAAAACCGAAGTTGAGCAATATAAAAAAACGACCAAAAAAAAAGTTAGAAGTGTGGGTCCCTGTTGGCTTTGTATTCTTCATTTATTTTGCATTTGATTCCGCTAGCAGTCGGATCCTTTTTCTTTCCCCCTTTTTAATGTTATTAGTTAAAATATTTATGTGAGATTAAGGCTTGCATAGGTGGCTGTGATTGATGCCTCCACAAAAACAGGAAGACATGTGCGTCTGACTTTTGAGAATGTCAGGGTCCTTCTCTTCCTTAGTGGAGGAGTTTTTCAGATACATAATTTAGATGCCCTCAAGGAAGGCTTTCAAGGCATTTGAGCCCAGGGGCAAGAAAAAATAACCATGACTGTTAAAAGTAAATCATTTTTGCTAATGCACAATTAATGCCAGGGAAAAAAGAACAAGAAAAAAGGCTCGGGACAAAGATGGAAACTTCAGCTTGAAGGAGGAGTATGTTCATGTTTTCGTCATGAAATCAAACAGTGATGGACATTAATGCAGGCAAAGTCGCCGCTGGCCTCTCATGCTAATCTTATGCCGAGATGGAGGGGGAGAGTGGGGGAGATTGTAAATTTGGCGAAGGATGGGGGTGGTGGGGGGGACATACGACAAGTTCATTCTGTGCACTGAATTGCAACAATGAACCCCCGAAAATTACACATAAACACTCAATGCAGCTCAACTGGGTGTTCATGAATTCATGAATCTGTTCATATCTTCTCTTCCTTTTTCTGTCCCCTTTGGCTCTCTTCAAAGGAGGAGAAAAAAATGCTCTCTGTTACGTCAAGCATGCAAATTTAATTGAATTAATGACATGAGTCCTCCTAGTCTCTGCTGTATTTGAAGGCTCCTTGTCCAATTTTTCTTTCTTTCCTGCTCCTCCTACTGTAGGAAAAAGAAAAAAAATCATAGGAGCCCAGTGTTTCAGTTCCAAACCATAACATCAGAGTCATTAACCCCTATTCCCCTCTCTCGTGCTCTGGGGCACAGAACAGCTCTTCTAGGCCTCTCTGTAAACCCCTCTATCTCTGTGCAGGCCCTTGTTTAAGGCTGTCTAAATCCCCCCTACTGCCTCATCTTCACGGCACAACACCGGCTTTGCTGCATGAAATCTTTTGGCCTTAGTGCACCCCTTTTCAGTATCTGTGGTATTTGTCCATTTTATTCATCTATCATAAACCTTACACCTCAGGTCTGACTGACTGTACTTTGTGTTTGAGCTTTGAGTCTTTGGTGTGGTCCGTGATGTTATTTAACGCCGGATTTGGTTTCCGTCCAGGAGATGGCTTAGACAACAGCGTTGCGTCGCCTGGCACGGGGGATGACGATGACCCAGACAAGGACAAGAAGAGGCAGAAAAAGCGCGGCATTTTCCCCAAGGTGGCCACAAACATCATGAGGGCGTGGCTTTTTCAGCATCTCACGGTAAGCTAAAGCCAAAATATGTTTGAAGGACGCTTATGGGATTTGAACGAAATAACAAACAGAAGCCAACACACACACACACACACACACACACACACACACACACACACACACACACNCACACACACACACACACACACACACACACACACACACACACACACACACACACATCTGTCACATGCTGTGGGAGCAAGTGGAGAGCGACTGCTCACCTGCCTTTAAGATACAATGACCAGGTCAATCTAATCAGTCTGAACTGTTTACTTGGCTCAAGAAGAAAGTTTCTTAGCAGATAAAGAGAAGGAGGGTTTGAAGAATGAGGTTGTAGAAAGTTGTTATGTCTTTCAAAGTCTAGATTTTTATTAATTTAATTATTTATTTTTTGAGGATTTGATCAGTATACACTTTCTTGTTTAGTTTGATKTTTTTTTTTTTAATCTGACTGACCTGATGCTTGTTTGTCTTCAAAACATTTCAGGTTGATAATTATGACATTTTAATCACACAAAGCAAATCCAATCAACATGATTTATAGCTTAAAGTCTACAAATGTCCAAACGTGATTGGGAAAGTACTGTCAGGTCCATTTTCCCTGCTTGTGTCTTTGTAAAAGAGGGTGGTCCTCATGGACCCTCACACTTGGTTTTGTCAGGACATCATCAGAACATCAGGCTGTATTGATTTTGCTACCCAGGTCAAATTTCAGAAGGAGGTGGTGACGTTGGGGCACAAAAGCTGCCTGAGTTTGTGACTCTTGGGCCTGGAATTGGAGGGACAGCATGGGGGGATGGGTAAAAAAGCAAAGTAGAAGAGAGTTGGACTAGAGCTGGGGTCTTAAGCATCACCCTCGCATTTAAGAGGGTCAGACGCCCCCTTTGCACCATGTAGCCCTCCCACCAATACCAAAGTGCCCACTCTCAGCTCAAAGCCCCCTTCTACCCTGATTACCTAACCAAAAGCCCAAGTAATAAGCGGCCAGCAAATACAACCTAATTGAAAGGGCTGTAAATCCATTACATATTGGTCAGGGATAATCAGGAGTGCTTTAATCACTTTTATCTATTCAGGAGCAGTGAAGCTGCAACAGCAAAGCCCTGAGCCTTGCAGGCCTTAGCGGCTCCACCACGCCAGTCTGCACGCTTATTATTCTCATCATTATCAAAATGACTTCACAGCTGTTCACAGCTCAGTCGCTCCCTGACTGGAGTCCTCTTACCAAACAGCACAGACCCAGCTCCATTTAGACATTCAGGCAAGGAAGAAAGCGAAACCTTTTGCATATACATAATTTTTGTCAAATCCCAGCATTTCAACACAACATTTTTCCTCCCCTGAGCAAAGAAAATGCTGCTTGGAAAACTTTTTGTGAGTCTAAAAAACTAAACGCTTAGGTGAAATTTGCTCTATAAACAAAATACATAAACGCATCATGCATTGACTACAAATGTCTCAAACTGTTGCATTTTTCCTAATGAAATCCTCACACAGTATTAGTATCCCTTTCTACACAGATCCTTTGAAACAGTTGTCAAAAAAACCTTTAGAATTGGGTTTAAAATTAAGAGAGGCTAGAAATGAAGAGGGGAGGGAAAGGTCTAAATGAACACATCTTTCAGAGACTGGTTTAATTCAGATCAAGCAAAGCTTTCAAGGCCCTCTCTCTCTTTCTCTCTCTCTCTTTCTGTTCCTCTTTCCTTTATCACATTCCCTGCTTGTGGATGTTCTTCAATCTTTATTTGTTTCTTTTGTGCAAAGCCTTAGTCAGTCTTGTACAAATAATAATCCCTCCCTTTTAACCTGCCTTCATTTCTCTGCTGAGGAAGAGGACTAATTGAATTATCCCCCTTCTCTTCTCACCATCCAGTTCTCCCACCCATAAACTCTCAGACACACATATACAGGCGCGCGCGCACACACACACACACACACACACACACACACACACACACAC